ACTTTGCCGAGGTTTGAGTTTTACCTATGTATTTAATTGATATTATTGTTAAATTTAAATTCTCAACGCCAACCCGGGTAATAACACGCTTCCCCCGTGCCATAGGCGACCGTTAGCCGGGCAACGCATGCTGTGTTTATACCGTGTCACGGGGCTTTTTTTTTTTTTTTTTGGGATGCGTTTGTTTTGGATTAAAAACCAAGTGTTGCCTGTTATCTATATTTTATGTATGTTAGTATATATTGTGTGTGGGTGTAAGAGGGCCGAGGTTACGAAGACATGACGACGGCGGAGACAGAGAAAATCTTTGCGGGCAAACCGAACTGGGAGTACGACCACAGGCGAGCGGACGAATCGTTACAATCGCTCGGCGGGTTCAGGGTCAGGCCCCGGCTGAGGGACGCGTTCAACGAGCGGCTGGTCAGGACCGCCGTGCAAACCGTCCACTCGGATTACCTGGCCGGGAAGACGTGGGAAGACCTGGACCACAAGGTCACTTGCCGGGCCGTTGTCCGGGACGTGGAGCGCCGCGTCAAGGAGATATGCGACGACACACGCCCGGCGGGGTCCCGGTACAAGATAATTGCACACACGTTCATCGGGGCGCATCGTTGGCAGTCGGTCACCATCGGCATGCGGTGCCTGTGGGACGAGAAAACCGATCGGCTGGTCCACGAGAATTACCGCAACGCCGAGCTGTTTTGCACCACCCAAGTGGTGGCCGTTTACTATTATTGACTACCGCAGAATGGCGACGGCTAAAACACCCCCCAACCCCTCCCCCGGTAGTACGAAGATTGCAATTTTTGTATTGTTCGCAAATATTATAACATTACTATTGTTATTATTTAGCGTGTACAAGACGTTAAACGAAAGAGAGAGTACAAGAGACTTTGATACACAGATATATATAATAAACTAGATTGCTAACTAGCGATAAGAATTGAAGCCGACGGTCCGCCATTCTGGTGGGATTTAGGTGTGTTATCAATGCATATAATATATATTATTATATCAATAAAATATATATATATACTGGATATGCTTGGTACAAACGACTTAGGTCGAAAATATAAGTTTTCGACTTAATACATTGAAAAATTCAATTTTGGTACAATAATAGCTTTGTTCGTTTTGACAAAAAATTACACCAATTAGCGTCAAGTGTAAATGGTGTGGTATTTCAAAACAAACGTGTTTTTGGTGTAGGATTAATCAACTGATAACTGTTTTCTATTGATAATACAATTTGGTTGATAAGAAATATGATAACGACCAACGCCGAAAATTAGGTATTACACCTACTCTACGGTCGGTGTGAAAAAAGTGTACACTGTGATACAACACTTTTTTTTTAAACAAACAGCGTGTAAAACTATACACTATTTCAAAACGGAACGCTTTGGTTTACACGTTTATATTTTTACGGTATTTTCAAATGGCTAAATAAGAAATCGGCCTCTTCGCCCGCATAGAGAAAATAGTAAACTTCACACAAAGAAAATAAAAATTGAAATCCGCCCAATAGATAACGCTGGAAAACGTTCGGTTAGGTCCATAACTCGGAGAAAAATAACTTAAAGTTTTATAACTAGATAAACGTAATATTTATTTTCATTAAAATTAGTCGGTTTACTTAAAATTGTTACTAGATAAATTTTTGTTAAATAATGTCTATTTTTTTGCCTCTTAACTAGCCCAATTTTTTTTTTTTTTACTTTTAAATTAATTTAATTGAACTTAAATTTTCGCCTTTTTTTATTTCGTTCCTATCGAAACTGTTGATTATATTTAATAAAGATAGATACATATAAACACAAATCAACGAAATCGAGTATAGATCTCATTATAATGTTATTTTTAGTTAAAAAAACTAAAATGATCTCACTAAAATGTTATTTTTAGTTACAATTTTTAATAAAATTGTATCATTACGTTATTATAATACAATTATTTAACCCAATTTTATCTAACATACTATACTAATTACAAATAAACGTATGTCAATTACTTTAACTAATATTAGTACCAGTGGCCAATAACCGGTTCGCTTTTAACGAGAAAGAGGAGAGGGGAAGGAGAAGTATTTATCTTGTTTCCCTCTCCTAAAAACCAATAAAAAAACAATTTAAAACCTAAAACTTTGTTTTGCCAAATTGTTTTGGGTGTCCGCTTCTGATTATTGTTTCGTATGTTTAAACAAAAACATTGATAATCAACAATATTGTAAACTAATAATAAACGATGAAACCACAAAAATCGGTCACTCTGAGATCATTGAAAATCGATTAGTAATAAGACTCTTGTAGCCCACAAAAGTTACGATTACAGCCGTTTTTATTTACCTTGATGTACGCGGGTTGTGTTAATTAGTTGAACGATATGAAAAATAACCTTTTCCAAGGTAATAAATACATTCTTCATTATAATCATAAACACGATGAGAAGTATAATAGGTAATATTATTCGGTTTTGAAATTGTCCCGAGCCCGCCACGACAGGTACGGATCGCTTACAATCTCTTTGGAAACGCCCAAAGAGGTTGTAGGTACCTGCTGGTCGCGGTAGATGGCGCATTTGAAATTTTGACCGTAGACCTTATCTATTGTAATGGCGTGTCCCAAACATTAGCTGGTGAATCATATTTTGGTTTTTTGGCAAACGACATTCGGTTTCCGGACGAGCACAACGTTGTAACGAGTCTCTTCTAACAGTGTTTATTTCAAGAATATTCCATTATCCAAAGAAGTCTAATGGACATTGACGCAGATCCGATGATGACCACCGACCTCCAGGTAAATAAATGATAAATTTGTTATTTATTTTATTTAAAAATGTATTAAATCACTTTAAATTACCAACGTGTATTTCGTCGACGGTCCTTCTGAGCGTTGTTTTTTTTTTGAACGTTTGTACAAACAGAAATTTCAAGTTAAAATATTAGTCCAGAGAATAATCATTTAAAAAATTCACCACAATTTCTAAACTAAATTTGAAAAATGTATCTGTTTATCTTACCATAACACAATGATCCCGAATTTTTTTTGCAACAATTATTGAAATGAAACTAGGTGGTATGAAGAGTGATTTGTACAAAATTAAATAACCCGAAGGATTTTTTTTGTTTGAGCTATTATTTTTAAAAAAATAACAACATTTTTTGAACATTTCGTATGACAACTCTCTGGCGTCAAAATCATGTTAACATGCAGTACAAGTTCTTACCAGTAGCTATCCCTATTTATTTTATTGATATTTATAGAATTTAATTAATAAGTTTATACATTTTTATTACTCTTATTCAAAAATTAATTATTAGAATACACAACGCTAATTCAGTTTTATCAGAGCAGCGTAGTGTCTTTATATCTTATGGCTGTTTAAAAAGAACTAAACACTTTCACTCGTCTCTGATGTTCTTAGAACAGTTCAAACTCAATCAAAGAATTAGTATTTTGTCCCTATATTACTCAGCAACATTTTTATTTTGCGGTTACTTTATGGGAACTGTGTTTGCGCTCACAATTAAATGTTTACACCATTGACTTAAATAACTACTATGTTAAAAATTTTTTTTTCTGGGTTTTATAATCCATATACTATTTATGAGATATTGGCATAATGTTATGTCCAATTTTTCATTTAGATTTTAACAAACTTGGTCACAATACTTAAGCTACGTTTAGTAACTATTTTATGCGATAAGTGTCGTTTCTATAGTCAAGTGAACACAGAAAAATTGAAATTAATTTGAATTTAATATTATCTTTAAAAAAAATATATTTTTATTTAAAAATTAAAAGAAAACATTTAATTTTACTATTGTCACTAGGCATATTTAAAACTATTTGAATACCGTGAAATAATACATAAACGCTAATTTATATAGCTTTTAGTGTATTTTATGTCAACTATTTTGCTTTCTACCTTTGTTTGGGCAATTCTAAAATTATAACAGTATGACTAAAAATAAAAGCCATAGCGTTAATTTAAAAAAAACAATTGTGCGTTTATTTCTTAGGTAGGTTATACAATCGATACATTCATCGATTTTTATTTGTATTATTATAATCGAATCATTGGTAAACTTGGATTTGCTAATCATTTTTTTTTTTTTTTTGGTAATAATAATTAGATTAAGAGTCGAATGTGATAAGAGGGATGATATAGGTGGTGGTTATCATTGAATTGTTTACATTATTAACTGATGAAAAAATAGTAGACATTATAATAATATGATAAATAATTAATAATGTTTATTTTTTTTATGAAAACTAGTTAATAAAATATAGGTATATACCTATATGTTTATTGAAATTCTAATGTTTAGTTTTATTTGATTTGCGTTGAAACTACTTGTGTTGCGATGAATGGTTTCGTAGTGACCTATCGCATTTTAACTCTTAAGGATAGCACAATTTAAAGTTGTGCAGGCACTAACATAGGTAAAAACTGTATTTCTATAAGTAAAATATATGTTATTAAATAGTAATTTAATTAAACACGAGATTAAAAGTATTGTGTTAAATATTCAACGGAAAAAACATGATTCTATTGACTAAATATTTGTGGAAATCTATCTGTATATAAATATATATATTTGTTTGAAAATCAATAACATCTATAAACCGCAATTTTTGTATGTTTAGGTAAACATGGACGAGTCAACGAATTTTGTGGATGAAAAAAAGCAAGAACTACACCAAGCCATATTGTAAGCATTAAATTATTTTATTTTTCAAATTTACAAATAATATTTTGAAACAGTAATAATAATAATACAAATATTTATAGAATAATAAGGCAACTCTATACAGTAGCTCCACAATGTGTTCAAGTAATTGCTCATAATTTGGATTACCTAGAATACATTGATAAAAGAGACAACAGAGATTTAAACGAGAGTATGTATAAAATAAAACGTTTATAGTAAACGCTGTCATATTTTCGTTGGATTTTAAAAAATAGTCTAATAAATATAATCTATAATTTTAGTCGAAATGAATGCGGAAGACGGAGAATACAAGTCGTTTGCCGATGTGATTACGGAAATACGATGTCTTTTGTTGAACTGTTACAAATATTTTGGCCCTAGACATAAGACTACTTATGCTGCTTTGAACGTTGAAAAATTGTTGGATGAATGTATTTTTTGCCTGGACGAGTAATAATATTTTACAAATAATAAATTATAATTGTTCATAAGTGCCTCCTCATAATAAATTTAGTACAACAACTAATGGCTTTAACAATTTATGTTAACAGCTAATTTTAGTGAACGTTTCATTTAAATAATTCATCTCATCAACCTACGCACTTATGATCGATCACACAGTTGTACCTTAAGGAAAACAACTATTTATGTTATATATTATTATTTGATTGTGTTACAGACGTCTAAAGAGTACAACAGATGTTCAACAGGTTTTGGATATATTTAAAACGGAGAAGACTTACGACTATAAATACTTATACCCTAAAGGTATTTTCATATTTATTACAAAATTTGTGATGTCGTAGTTGCTTGTGTTAATTTTGTATTACTGTTAAACGAATATTGTTAACATATATATATATATTTTTTTAATAATGGGTATTTATTTAAATTTAAATTGTCATTTCAGACCATTATGATTCAAAGTTATTAAAAAGTGTCGCTCATTGTCGTCCAGAACGATTGAAGATATATCATAACGCTATTGAGGATAAGATTGCCCTAACTGAGAAAAGTGTTATGTTATTAGAAGAACTAAATAGAAGGAAAAATGAAATCGATTTTGATTGCCACAGTCAATATGTAACTTCAATGTGGGAGGTTTGTATGAAAAATTTAATTTTATACTTTTAGCTTCGATGCAATTTTAAATTTATATTATACGTTAATACTAAAATTGTATAAATATAATTTTTTTTCAGTTGGCTGAAATCGGAAACTTCGTATCTGCTCTTGCTGGGACTTTTCATATCGGAGATGTATATCAAGGCGAAATCGAAGGGATGTTTTTGATACCTAAAGAGTCGACGTTAATGAGTAAAATAATGACATTATTGTTGGGGCCGATGAGCGGTAAGAGATGTATCAATAATTTAATGTCATACAAAGTTTGGACCGAGAAATTGTCGAAAAAAATATCGAGTTGGTTTGAAGTTTACCACGAAAAGGACCAAGGCAAAGCTAAGGTAAGTGTTTAAATTTGTAACAAATCAATACGATGGCACCATACGTATATTATAATGGCAAAAAGAGATTGTTTTTTTTTTACAATTGAAACTACTTGTGATTTTTATTTAGGTTTTCAAAGAATTCGGCATCCATCGAGATTTTTGGACTGTCGTGGGCGACAAGAACCCATTAATCGATAAAGAATATTTTGAATTGCCATACTTGGTTAAAGTCTGGTTACTTAAAGGACTGTGCGATCATGTACTGGTAAGTTTAATAATCCTGCATAAAATATTAAAAACCATAGTTAAGTAGATCTCGGAGCTTGTTTAAATTTTATTTACCAGTAGTTTTTGCATAGCCGGCCAAGTCATACGCGATTATTTTTTTATTTCAAAGTCTGAACAATAAATTAACTGCAAACATAATGCGATCAATATAAGATAATAATAATCATATTGACAGTGTATTTGTTGAAAGAATTAAAGATGTTTATTTTTTCAAAATATCGACCAATTCTTCATTGAAACTAATTCACGGATAATAATTGCTGTTAATATTATTTTATGGCCAAAAAGCCAATGTCTCACAAGTTTGCATGCTTGCATAATCTTTTTTTTTATTTTGCATTTGGCCGTCTTATGTTTTTTTCTTACGACTTTTGTGATTATTAATTAATCATAACAATACATCTTAGTTGACGACTTAAAAATTTAAATTCAATTTATTTACTATTTCTTTTTTTTTTAACCTAACCTATCTTTAAAAAAGCTTGTAGCTTAGTGTAGAAAATATCGCTGCTTTTATTGCTTGTATTTTTTTTTTTGATAACAAAAAGGAAATTGTGATAAATAAAAATAACGTTATCAGAAGTGAACGGCCACACAATCAAACGGTTTTCTTAAATGTGTCCTATCGGTGCGCATCGGTATGAACCGCTAAAATATCTTAAATCCAACTTCACAATTAAATAAAAATAAACAAAGATTTTAAAATTTAAAATACCTACAAAATATTTCACGGTACAGTTCGGACGTGTTAATTTACAACATTCATAGTCAAATTTACACAAACAATTAGATTAGTACAACTTGAAAATAATATCAAAATTATAAGTCAAACCAACTAAATAACTAACGTTTTAATCAATATTTTTATTGGAGTTGGCTTTCACCAAGAACGCTTAGTACACGATGCACTGCATAATGTAATTATATAGAAGATGATAATTTAATGGGGGATGTCATATCAATATTTTTATTTAAAAATCGGTGTGTTTACTGTAAGACCATCGCGGACCGAGTTTAACACAATTTGAAGTCAAGTTAAAATAAAAAAACAATGGTGGTAGATAAAAAAAAAATTCAACATTATCAAGTCAAAATTTGGAATATCACAAAAATTGTTGCATTTTAATTTAATTTTACCGTAGGTATTTTAAATACAACATAGTACTGGACTCGCCTGCGTGCTTTGGACGGTTCAGGCCAAACCGAATGCTAGATTAATGGCTTGATGCGATGCAGCTTGTTTTTTAGATATTGCTTCCAAAAAAAAAAGTAAAAATCTTCATGAAACTTCTATGCTTTTTAGAATCTTTTAGTTTGATTAAAACCAAAGTATTTATAGAGTTACGGCTTTTTAATTTAAGCTACAACATATTTTGAGAACTAATTTTTTTAAAAGTAATTATTCGTAAACTGTTTTTTTTTTTTTAGTTTAAATATAAAAGTATGAAGGACATTGTTGTAAAATGTAAAGAAGAGAAATGTACAGTATGGAAAAGCAATGATGGTACCGAAGAGTATTTTTACTTTAGTATAATGCCCGATCTGCGACTGTACTATCATAAAACTTCCAATGATAAGAAGGTAACTATGCGTTTTTACAGGAGAACTTATGTAAAAAAATGTAAATGATTTATCTTTTTTAAGCTAATTATTTGTTTTTAACTTTACCCTAGTTTGATGGCGGTCTTAAAGGAGAACCATTTGAAAACAGAGATCTGGAAGACGAATTGCCTAGGCTCAAAGGTGAGATAACGTTGATTTTTTGTTGTTTCTCTTTTTTTAAAACAATTTCCTACTTTGTTTAGGCATATGTAAAACGTTTCGATCGAGATCCCAGTTCAAACCTAACGAAGATAATTTCAAAATGATAGCCAACACTGTGCAAGGAGTCCGTACGCTTATCGAGGAATCCGTAGCCGAGGGAAACCCTGAGAGCTTAATACTTTCGCTCGAAGAATATCTCCGATGCGTTGAAAAGCACGAATACAATTATCTAAGCACCAACAACGAATCAAAGATAAACCTGTACAGAGATTGGAAATTGACACATCCTGCGAATAAACATAAAGTCAAAAACACCAAATTAGGTAGGTTTGATTTTAATTTTTCTTAGTGGTCTAAAAAAAAAAAAGTATTTGCGTCAAATTTAAAATGTTTTAAAGAAAGGTTTTTTTTTATTTATAATGAAACCATTTAAAATAATTTTTGTTATTAGTTGGTTGCATCTTGCAAATTCCAAAGAAATGTCTTTTTGAAGGTACTTTTTAAGATTTTTTTTATCGAATGCATTACATTTATCTGAATTAACTGATGTGACCAGACTTACTTTTTTTTCCTTTGAATTTAAACAACTTGCACATTTGTTGCATAAGTCACCATTTATTTTTATCCAAGATAAAGTTATTGACATGTTAGCTTACAGCTAATGTTCTTATTATATTCCCATCGACAACGTATTATGTTTTCTGACTCGGCGTTTTAAATCCTAACCCAAATAATAGACAAACATTCTTTATTTTAATCTTTTTTTTTCCATAGATTACAGCGAAGAAAAAGAACCTATCAAACGACGACAAACGGAAGACCATCAGGACATTGATGAATATTATGAAAATAAAAAAGCAAAGATTATCAGTTGTCCGGACACTTCACTATACTCATCTCTTATCAGCGAAGATGAAGATGAAGATGATAACTGCATTAAAATAGTTTCCGTTTCATCAGTAGCGCCTAGACCTTTGAATACTTCACCAACTGTGTCGAGCGTAGATTCAAAAAAATCATTGTGTACAATTAGCGTAAGTTCATTTTATAGCTTGGATAATTATACTATACAAAAGCATACTCCTACCTATCACAACGTCGAGTAACACTGACACATCGGTCAAGACTTATATTCCAGAGTCGAGACTTCTTTACTGCTGTAAAGCGTTACAACAATTATTTCCAATTGTTCTCAAACATTCCTATTTTGACGTCTTATGTGTGTGTCAATAATTACTATCCTTATAGTATATTACTTCTATAATTTTTGATTTGCATGTTTCAGTGAATAGGAAGTTACAAACCCCCACCGATCCTATACTAGTCAATGCATTTTATTCGGCTGACATTCAATTTATAAGACTTGAGTATGTTCACGTAACGTAAAATCACTAAATTTTAAATATTTTTATATTCTCTATTACATTTACTGTCGAAGAAAGTTGACATTAAAGAAAATTTTTTTTTTGTCTAACTTATGCACTGTATTTTTTATTTTATCTATTTATTTATTTTTGTATTTCTTTATAATAACGTTTTAAAAATGTCTTATTAAATTAATTGCATGTGTGTCATTACTTTTTAAATTTAAGTTTATTTTTATAATGGTTTAAATAAGATTTATTTGTAGTAGTGATTTTGTTTGTTTTTAATATTTTCAATTTGCACGTGTGTTATTATTATAATTTATCAATGTCTTACATGTGTCGTTGGCTTTAAATTCATTGTCAGTTTTTTTACAACTACAAATGATAGTAAAACAAATTTGCAAAGAATGTACAAAAAAATGTTTTACTCAAATAATAAAATATTTTTTTTTAATGCGATTTTTTGGATTTATTTATTCGAATAGTTGAAATTTGATATTATTTGGCATCCCTTCTGTCAGCAGAAGAACATTTAGATATTATGTAGCATTTAGGTGTACTTACTGTAATCTGGTTATTGATTTATTCATCTAAATATACTAATGCTGGACTGTCTTGGGCGTCCAAACCTGTAACATGACACACACAGTTGTGTACTTAAATTTTGGTAAAAATGATAAGTAATGTCTATGTTATTAACAAACAGTCAATGGAGAATAAACATATAGAGCTCAGGCAAACGTTAATTGTCGTTACAAAAATGACAGTGTTATTATTAGATATTTTTATTCCTTATATAAAAATTGAGAAAAAAATGTACAAATTTTTCAACTTAAAACTACGATGCTCTATAACTTTTTTAAAAATAGTCGAAAATGTTCCAAATTTATATGAATTGTTCCTCAAATATAGTACTATCGATAAACATTAACAAATCAAAAAAAAAATCATAAACCCTTTCCCTTATAAGGGATAGAATTTTTTTCTTTATTTCACTTTTTCAAGCAAAGTTTTAGAGATTTAGATCTGAAAATTAGGCCGAAGGTAGATCTACAATGGAACTACAACATATACAATTTCTTTAAAAATCTGTAAAATGAAAATATTTTCATTATATTTTTAACTACTACTCACAGATTTGCATCGAAGCGTTTATTTAAAAGTGATTTTATCACTTTCAGTTGTAATAAAATCTAGTTTTTTTAAAATATTCAATTTTTTCAGGATTTCTAGTTTTTCTAGTATTTCAATTTTGTCAGGATTTCTAGTTTTTCAATTTTTTCAATTTTTTCAGGATTTCTAGTTTTTCTAGTTTTTCAATTTTTTCAATTTTTCTATTTTTCTAGTTTTTTAATTTTTTCAGGATTTCTAGTTTTTCTAAAAAACTAGAAAACTATTCTAGTTTTTCTAGATTTCTATTTTTTCTAGTTTTTCTAGTTTTTTAATTTTGTCAGGATTTCTAGTTTTTTAGTTTTTCAATTTTTTCTAGTTTTTCTAGTTTTTTAGGATTTCTAGTTTTTCTAAATTTTCAATTTTTTCAAGATTTCTAGTTTTTCTAAAAAACTAGAAAACTATTCTAGTTTTTCTAGATTTCTATTTTTTCTAGTTTTTCTAGTTTTTTAATTTTGTCAGGATTTCTAGTTTTTTAGTTTTTCAATTTTTTCTAGTTTTTATAGTTTTTTAGGATTTCTAGTTTTTCTAGTTTTTCTAAATTTTCAATTTTTTCAAGATTTCTAGTTTTTCTAAAAAACTAAAAAACTATTCTAATTTTTCTAGTTTTTCAATTTTTCAATTTTTCTAATTTTTCAATTTTTTTAGTTTTTTTAATTTTTTTAGTTTTTCAATTTTTTCTATTTTTTCTAGTTTTTCTAGTTTTTCTAGTTTTTCAATTTTGAAAAAAAAGAAAAACTAGAAAAAATTGAAAAACTAGGAAAACCTGAAAAACTTGAAAAACCTGAAAAAATAGTAATAATAGAAAAACTATAATAGTTTTTTAGTTTTTTAGTTTTTCTAGTTTTTCTAGGTTTTAAAGAAAAGATAGAAAAGATAGAAAATATTGATAAATTAAAAAACTATAAAAACTAAAAATGTTTTTTTAGGTTTTCAATTTTTTCTAGTTTTTCCAGTATTTCTAGTTTTTCTAGTATTTCTTAATTTTCTAGTTTTTCTAGTTTTTCTAGAAAAACTAAAAAAACTAAAAAAAATTAAAAGTAGAAAAACTTTTCTAGTTTTTCAGTTTTTCTAGTTTTTCTAGGTTCCTAGTTTTTCAAGTTTTTCTACTTTTAATTTTTTTTAGTTTTTTTAGTTTTTCTAGAAAAACTAGAAAAATTAGAATAACTAGAAATACTAGAAAAACTAGAAAAACTAGAATAGTTTTTTAGTTTTTTAGTTTTTCTAGTTTTATGGGTTTTATAGGAAAAGATAGAAAAGATAGTTAAAATAAAAAACTAGAAAAACTAGAAAAACTAGAAAAAATTGAAAAACTAGAAAAACCTGAAAAACTTGAAAAACCTGAAAAACTAGACAAAATTGAAAAACTAGAAAAACTAAAAAAAGTTTTTCTACTTTTAATTTTTTTTAGTTTTTCTAGTTTTTGAATTTTTTCTAGTTTTTCAGGTTTTTTTAGTTTTTCAATTTTTTCAATTTTTTCTAGTTTTTCAAGTTTTTTTAGTTTTTCAATTTTTTCTAGTTTTTCTTTTTTTTTTAAATTGAAAATCTAGAAAAACTAGAAAAACTAGAAAAACTAGAAAAAATAGAAAAACTAAAAAACTAGAAAAACTAGAAATACTAGAAAAACTAGAAAAACCTGAAAAACTTGAAAAACTAAAAAAACCTGAAAAATTAGAATAAATTCAAAAACTAGAAAAACTAAAAAAAATTAAAAGTAGAAAAACTTTTTTTAGTTTTTCTAGTTTTTCAATTTTTTCTAGTTTTTCTAGTTTTTTATTTTAACTATCTTTTCTATTTTTTCCTATAAAACCCATAAAACTAGAAAAACTAAAAACTATTCTAGTTTTTCTAGTTTTTCTAGTATTTCTAGTTTTTCTAGTTTTTCTAGTTTTTCTAGAAAAACTAAAAAAACTAAAAAAAATGAAAAGGAGAAAAACTTTTCTAGTTTTTCAGTTTTTCTAGTTTTTCTAGGTTCCTAGTTTTTCAAGTTTTTCTAGTTTTTCTAGTTTTTCTAGTATTTCTAGTTTTTCTAGATTTTCTAGTTTTTCTAGTTTTTCTAGTTATTTTAGTTTTTCTAGTTTTTCTAGTTTTTTTAGTGTTTCTGGTTTTTCTAGTTTTTCTATTTTTTCTAGTTTTTCTAGTGTTAATTGTTTTTCTATGTTATCTAGAAAATCTTGTTTTTCTAGTTTTTCTATCTTTTCTATAAAAACTAGTAAAAACTAGAAAAACTAGAAAAACTAGAATGACTAGAAAACCTAGAAAAACTAGAAACGCTTAAAAATCTAGAAAAACTAGAAAAACTAGAAAATCTATAAAAACTAGAAAAACTTTTCTAACTAGTTTAACTAGATAAACATTAACATTCCACAAATGTATCATAAACTTTTTCCCTTAGAAGAAATAGAATTTCATTCTTTATTACACTTTTTCAACCAAAGTTTTAGAGATTTTGATCTGAAAATTAGACCAAAGGTAGATCTAAAATGGAACTATACATATACGGTTTTCTCAAAAATCTGTTGTCTAATTTTTTTTTTTTATTAAGGAAAAACTCCAAAAATAGGGTTAATTTACACTTTGGCCGTAGTCAGTTTCTAGGTTGCTATGTGTGTGTGAACCAACAGTCAACAGGTAATGAAATTTTTTCATTATTTTGTTAATACTGATAAATGGGTTACTATGACAGTACAATTTTATAGACATACGATCAAACCTTATCGTACCCACCCTGCACAAGAGTAATAATAAATTTTAAGTACATTTTTGCTGGTCCCACGATATCTTCTAAGCCGCTATAACTGGTTTGAACATACTATCCACAGATTCACATCAAAGCGTTTATTTAAAAGTGATTCATCACTTTCAGTTATAATAAAATCTGTAGACCTGTGACCATTCCGTCCCCACTATGCCCCGACCCCACTGTACTGGCTTTTTTTGTTTCTTAATACTTCTACCTTTTTTGTTATAAGGATGAAAATATACTCAGAAATAATTAACACTTTATAAAGATAAGTTAATCTCTTTAATAATAATAAAATAAGCACTTAAATAGACAATGGTTGACCGTAATAATGAACTGTATCATAGATAAACACAAACTGACCGACTGACAATTATACATAGTAAAAGCCTACGTTATATACTAATATGCAAACTAAGTAAATGTATTAAACAACAGAAAAATAGGTTCAGCACTAGAATAACTTGTGTTTATAGAAAGTTAATGCGTATTAGGAAATAAATTCAACCACTGATACATAATAGTCAAGCATAAAAACGTAAAGTCCCAAATGACATAGGTACCTAAATATAATATAATATAAACAACCCTGGGTTTCTTATACCAACTATTGCTTTATATAGGTCGGAATGTTGGGCCGTAGATAAGAAAACTGAATATAGAACAAGTGTAGTGGAGATGAGAATGTTAGGATGGGCGATTGAAGTGACTAGGGTGGATAGAATAAAAAATGAATACTTAAGGGTAGTCTATGAGTTGAACCAATTGTGAGGGAAATGAAAGAGAATAGGTTGAGATTGTTCAGTCATGTTATGAGAAGGGACAAGGCAGAGGCAGAGGCAGTGAGATGTGTTATAAAGATGAGTGTAGAGGGAAAAAGACCTAAGAAAAGATGGATAGACGAATAAAGGATCGGTCAAACAGAAAGCAGACTGTCCGCCGCGTACTCTGTACTCTATTTAAATGCATCTTTCTGGTTAAACAGACCGCGGCCTACAACTGATGGTTGTATTTTTTCACAAAGTTCGCGACGGACTGGAATAATTTTGTAAAATAAAAAAAATATAATATATATTTAATATAGACAATACACTGGATTTTCCACACGTATCAGCACTTCTAAAATATTTATTATATAATTATCGAACATAAAATATACAAACAATATTGATGACAAAATATCGTAATTAATTTAAAAAAAAAATTTATTTTAAATTTGTGCACTGAAAATGACCGATGAAACGGAACGATTGATTGATCTAGTTCGAGAATGTGTTTATTTGTGTGATACGTGGCATCCAGATTATAAAAAAAACAGAAAAATGGACTGATTCGACAAAAGACTGGTATCAACACTTCACAAAAATGTAAAATTTAATACAATTTTTCAGCCGAGTTTGCAACCACGAATGAGCATTTTCATGTCTCGTTGAAGTACCAAATAAATTTGAAGTAGTAGTGGAATTATAGATAATGGTAGATAATGATATAGTATATTAACAAGCAGTAACAAGCTAATATCTAAGGTGGCTAGTATATTAAAACATCAAGTTTCTGGCTAATATTTTAGTGTTTAAAATCTGGCTTAAAACAATTCATAAAAATATGACCTCTTAAATTATTGAATTCAATTTAGTTCAGTTCTAGTTTGAACGTTGAGAATACAGCATAGTCGGTGAAACTCCCCAAATTCTATTCTTTTGTTATTTAGTTCATGTACCCGTTTTCTTTTTTTTCGTCTTGCTTAACTCAAGGCAAGCAGAAGAATCTAGACATTTCGTAAAAGAAAATGAAAACAGAAAACGTGAGATAAATAGTGAAAAATAAAAAAACAACCAGCAGTACACTTTTGTGTACATAAGAAGATATAAGCCGATTTTTTAGCAGTGCCCCAACAAAGGGTGGGCATCGACAAAGTCACAAATTATAAAAAATGTTTAAAGAATGAAAGATTTCTTTTGGATCCCTAAGACAAGAAAAAAAATTCTCTTTCAGTATCTAAGATATGTCTCAGATTGCTGTATGATTAGACAGTTTTAATCATATGGCCTAATATTGAAATTTGATATGGAAGTCATTTAATGAGCTTTAATGAATAAAATATATATACTTTTCAATAAAAAGTCACCTCTTTTTTTGTTTTTATAAAGAACCAAATTTAAACTTTATAAAATTAATGTAAAATTATCATAGCAAAAAATATGGCATATTTTTCGCTCAACTCCGTAATTTTTCCATTAGTTTTATCAAACACATTTTGTGAAATTTCATTATCAAAAAATAAGTTGATAATATAATCGATAAGAGCAACAAACATTTTTTTGGCCTATTCTTGAACCCTATAATACCAGTTAAGGGTTAAAACATCACTATTATTGTCTAACATCTTATTTATATTACCTAGCTATAAGACATATCCATGTCCTAAGTAAACCGACGAATGCTTTAAATTCAATCATATCTAAATGGTCTACAAAAGTGGTTGATATGCCATATTTTTCGCTCAACTCCGTAATTTTTCCATTAGTTTTATCAAGTATATTCGATAAGAGCGACAAATATTTTTTTTGGCTTATTCTTGAAACCTATAATACCAGTTAAGGGATAGAATGTCACTATTATTGTCTAACATCTTATTTATATGGATTTCTAAATTCTCCTTTGATCCAACCGGTGCGGTGCTGGTGTTTTTCCTAATGTACGAAATAATAACAGCTATACGACGACGGTATTGGTTATAATAATAGTTTATTAATGAATATACTTGTATATTGATATCGAAACATTTAGATTAAATCTGTAACTCTCTCCAGTTCTGTTTTATACAATCCTGACGGAAGTAGCAGATCTACATAATACTCCATTCGTGTCTCGTAGGTTGGCAAAACGCCGTCTGCCGTAATCGTCCCCTCCAATACTATAATGCAATTAAATACTTCATTACATCCTTGTGTATATCTAAACCCAGGATTTAATGCACGCGTTATTATCCCGAGCAATTTGCATTTTGTGCTTTCGCCATTCTTGCACATTCGGGTGTCATCTGAAACCATACAATATAATAATTATTGAATAGAAATAAAATCGTTAAATACTACAAATTTATGACAAGAAATAATAAAAAGTATATAAAATATTCCGAATTAACTAAGTGTTAAAAAATAAATACATTAGCTTTTGCTTGAATCATGTGGTTGCTATTGCTGGACTTTAGACTACAGTCATTGTTCTACTCATTTAAACGTATTTTTGTTTTTATTGTTTACCCATACTAGATACCAACATACGCATAGATAGGTTAGGTATAGGCCAAAGTTTTGTTGTAACGACGTTTTAAAAGTAGCGATAAATATTATAAAAATGCTTACTCATTTGACGATGTAGAACATGGTGGAATATATTATGTATCAGCGTATGTCTGTTGTTTACTGCCGTGTCATAGTCAATTGGGTCTATAATATCATACAGATGATGTATTTAGTTTTATTTTTAACATTAAAATTATACCATGTAAACTATAAATAAGAATTTTCAACTTTTTCAATTGACCATTATTAATATGGTCTTATTTAAGCACATTGTACAACTGTAATATTCACTCAAATACTACCTAAATAATTGTTCTGGAGAAAACTGTTATACATACCACTTAAATCAATTGTTGGCTCTTGTACTGTAACAAAGTACAGTATATCCCGTTCTTGGGATATTACTAAATCAAAAGCTATAATCAAAACATTAAATCCCCATTAAAATGTGTCATTTTATGTAAAATTTCACTGCCTAACATAAAATATCACAAAAAAAGGTCATTAATAATCATAGTTACTATTAATTATAAGTTATGCAGACGATAATTTTTTACCTTTCGCCCTGCCTCTGTTTACCAATAACGCAGGAACTAAAAAAAAAGATTCGATTTTATAATGATACTGTTAATACGTGCCATATATATTTAAGTAATCGACAAAATCTTTTTAATTAAAAAATGAAACTTTTATGTACATTTTGTGTTTAATCAAATTTGGTTTTGATATAAATTTACCAGCTTGTAATATTAATTGAATAATAATAACACCGGTAATTTTAGAAAAAAAAAAACAATTTAAAACTACATCTTTAGTATATTAACATGTAGAATTACGGATATCCTCTAAATAGTTTGTTAGTTATAAATGTGTACTGTTAATGAAATGTAATAAAAGTCAAATACACGTTAGTACTAGAAAACATACACAATAATACTTGATATTCGACGCACAATTTAAGTAAAAATAAGATCAGATAAAGAGAATATCATGCATCGGCAAGTCGTATCATCTTATACCATTTAACATCGATCATAGGTATATTATTAATAGTAATGTAATTTGTATTATCATTAAACATTGTGATTTTGATTATATACATGTATACATATTAGGTATAGCTTGAAAGAGGAACTGAAAAGGTGATATCACAAAAACTAATCAATTTTTTCAATCTTGGATACAGATTTGTGAGGGATTTTCATTCCAACATACCTAATAGTAATAACTTACAATAATATATATATTATACACATTATTACTAACAACGTTTTAAAGAATACTGTCTAATACAGGGTGTCTCACAAAGATTAGAAAAATTAGATAACTCTTGTTCTAGTGAATGGTGTAAGATTTGTTTTTTAAATAAATTTATACTCATTTGCACTATAAAATAAAAACGAGGTTTTTTTTTATCGCAAATAACTGTTTTCGGTTTTTAATAACTTTTATATATATTATTCAGAAAAATTTGATGAATATTTAGACTCGTCGATAACCAGTTTTTAATAATTTCTTTAATTGTTATTTAAATTTAAAGTTAGAATTGGAGGTGCATTGTGGTAGGTCCAGTTCACTACTTTGCAGGTCTATGATATTACCTAATCATATAAAACAATTGTAAATTACCTGGCGGAAAAATCAAAACCTGAATTCGCGCTGAAAAAACACAAATAATTTGCTTAAAAAAAAAAAAATTAGTGCATGCGAGTTGCGTGAACGTTTAATGAATTAATACAAATTTAACGGTTCCTTAGACATCAATTTTTAAATGAACGATTAAATGTACTGATAAAGTGTACAACATGACAAACGGTATTGATAGTACAACAAAACTATACGGTAAGCAATGGCAATTTAATAGCCTAATATTGTAAAAACGAGTTTACTGAAAACAAAAATATTAATTTACACATAACAATACCATATGAGTATGCACGAATGAGACCGTTGACCAGTTGGTATTTTTGATCTGGAATCAAAGAACAAAAACAAATTATTAATAAATTCGTTAAATAAACTTAGCAATTACAATTCAATATTTAATAAAACATTAAAGTGAGGTAGACATAGCACAGATAGTCTATAATTTTAGTGGAGGTTGAAGAAGTTTAGGGAATTTTAACAAAGGTGTGTTATGTGTTATTTTCACTACAAAAATGACTAAATAAATCATGAAAACAATTGCATACATTAAACCGATACCTTTAAAGCTAACACAAACTAATCTACAAAGTCAAAATATATTTAAAACACGTATAGATCAAATAGATCATGTAATGGTAGACTACCGAATTAGATTAAGCACAAACGACGTATTAATAATGATAAGTGTACACAGAAAATTAACAAAGAAATATTGAAAGGAAACTAGGCCAAAGATTACAAAGAAAAAATAATTGAGTAGTTAGATGCCTCAGATAATGTTACCTACGGATATAATTTACATTTGGAAAATAAATGGAAACTGCAGTCAAAAGATCCGCAGAAGAAGTATTAGGCCATGAACTAAGGAGAAGAAGAAAATTATGACTTTTATTAACAATGAAATGAAGGTATTGTCGAAAGATAGAGATAGAGCACGTTTAAAAGTGGTACATGACCTAACATCCATCTTTTAAGTACAATGATAGTTAAGTAGTAGTAAGAAAATTAGCTCATACTGTAAGTTATAGCATACTGTACTAATTTAGGAGACATACATATAATAATTATGATGTGATCATTATGGATTAGATAGTAGTATTTTCAATTATTAACAATATAAATGCAGGAAATTGGTTAAAATAACAGGAAAATCTAAACGTGCTGAGATAGAATTCTGCCTTATTATATTAAACGTATGGCGCCGTTTACAGTTTAGATTGTGCCTATTTTTTGTTTTTTTTGCCAAACTTCATATTTCCTGTAAAATGATTTTTTTTTCCTTAATTATAATATACTATATTATTAAATATATAAACACTCACTGTCAGTTAAAATGCTAAGTTTGTTGTCTAAAAACAAAACAAATTTTACATAATTAACAAATACAATAAACAATGTAGTCAAAGCGATCATAAAAGGCTGGATACACAAAAAAAAACTCGTTCGTGTCACGGGACACGCGTTTGGAACGAAGTCCCTTTCGTATGAAGGTTTGGCATAATTAGTCATTAACGTGCTAGGCTCTTATTCTCTCTACCCACCCCTCTCTTTAATTTTTATTACTGATGCAATAAATAACTATATTTATAAATTTATTTGCAATATATATATATATAAATATATATATTTGTTTTTAAAAGTAGTAGGAATAATATATCAAAAATGTACGTCAACCGATCTCAAGTACATTTCACGACGAATTCAAATCTGTTTTCATATTACTTATCAGATTAGTGGTTGAACCTGTGCGATGGAACAAAAAATGTATCGTATATTGACTAAAATGACTTTTACTCATAGACAAAATGATTTAAATTAAAAATAATACCTTGAAGCTTATACAAATTAACCGGTCAATTTATTGACATTGTCAAAATTTATTTAAGCCAATTTTTTCTTAAATATTGCCTATACAAAACTCCTTAAAAATGGTCTGTATGGAGTCCCCTTGACTAAAGTTAAATTTTTAAGTCACGTTTACTTTATAAATGTTTGACTTTGCTAAAATAGTTTAAATAAGGAAGTATAGAGTATTTTTATTATATATACATGTCAGTTCAAATTAAATTTAAGTAAAAAAATATAGGCAGTTATTTACAGGCAATTTAATTTGTTTGTGATCAGGACAAAGCGTTAAATTATTTAATGAATTTGAAACAAAAATAGTTCAACAAAAAGTAACACAATATAACGACACAAATGAATAAATTTTCAATTCCATATAATGAAATAACGTTAAAATTGCCTAAATGACTTTAAAAAAAATAACAATAATTTTAACTCACTGGTCTTACAAATCTTAACACGGCATTCTGGAATAATAAATTATATTATCATAATTTCGTAAAATATCAAATTGTCAGTGAGGTCACAGTTCTACAGTAATTATTATAGCTGAAAGTGATAAAAATCCTCTTAAATAAATGCTTTGGTGCGAATCTGTAGGTAGTATGTTTAATCCATTGCATTCCAAACTAAGCACTTTTAGAAAGTGTTAAAGGGTCTAGTGTGCCAAAATTTGCATCGAAGCGTTTAATTAAAATTGATATAGTTAGAGATAAATATGAGTCTTATAAATCTCAGTTCCGCAACGATACTAAAAAAATTTAATAAAATATGATTCAAATATTTAGGTAGTACCGTCTTGCGTTGCGCATTTTATATTGTTTATAACAATGCAAATAGTAACCGCAATTAAACAGAAAACTTGTAGCTTAGTCATTTTCAATCAATACCTAAAAAAAAACAGTATAATGTCAAATTCAATAGTAATACATAAAATATGTGTTTAAACAAAATTGCAGTAAAAATACTTTTTGGAGTATTCTAGAACTATAACATGGATAGTCCATATCTTCTTCTTTTTTGCCTTACACTCCCAATTACATGGGGTCGGCCACCCTAGTCCTTCCATAGTTGATTTCCCTGGCATAAACTCAAATTGATTCTTCGATATTTTCTTATCTACAATCTATTGCCAAACCTTCATACTATGACTAATCAGTTTTATACCTCTAAAATTGTCACACTCCTGCACATCTTCCTTGCCCTTAAATATTGGTATCAGATTACTTTTATCCACAAATCCGTCATTTTCCCATCTATATACCAAAACCTTATTAAGGAAACCTGTCAACCACCCTAACATGGATAATCATACAAAAAATATTAATATATTATCATCTCACTCAAGAAACAGAATGTAGAAAACCAATGTGGTGTGTTTGTTTCCGGATAATGTTTTTAAAAAATGACCATCCTAAATTTGTCCTTATCCGAAATTATTGTATATTATTTAAATTTATCACACTTTAGGTAGGTCTTTTGTAAAACAGGAGTTAAGTAATTTGCCCACGTCATTGTTATGAAAACAGCAAATAATTTCTATTTTTTATTAAAGGACTTCATAAATTCTATTATTCTAATATTTTCTAAATTCGATTGCCATTTAAGTAGCCCAAATCACGGAGTACAAATTTAGAGTAGTGCATCATTCGAATAAGACATTACATAAGTCTAACATTTAAATACCAAATTTTTCGAGTAAAAGTTATTCAAATTCTTTTTTATTCGAATAGTTTTTAAAAATATATATTAATATATTTCATTCGACTAACTTGTAAAATAATTATTCGAATAAATATATAAAAACAATAATCGAATAATATTAAATTTAATTTTAGATTTTAAAAGTTAGGAGGCGGGGGGATAGACGTAGA